TGAAGATCATTTTAGATAGTATGGACAGTGCTAATTCTTCCAATCCATGAGCACAGAATGTCTTTCCATCTCTTTTTGTGTCCTCTTTAATTTCTTTCAGCAATGACTTGTAGTTCTCATTGTAGAGATCTTTCACTTACTTGGTTAAATTGATTCCTAGGTATTTTATTTTTTTGGTAGCTATTGTAAATGTGCTTGCTTTCTTTATTTCTTTTTCTACTAGTTCACTGTTGGAGTATAAAAATGCAGATTTTGCAGGTTGATTTGTATGCTGCAACTTTACTGAAATCATTTTATCAGCTCTAAGTTTTTTGGTAGAGTTCTTAGGTTTTTCTATGTATAGGATCATGTCATCTTCAAACAGGGACAGTTTGACTTCATCTTTTCCAGTCTGGATGCACTTTATTTCTGTCTCTTGCCTGACTGCTGTGGCTAGTACTTCCAATACTAGGCTAAATAGGAGTGGTAAGAGTAGCCATCCTTGTCTGCTTCCTGTTCTTAAAGGAAAGGTTTTCGGCTTTTTCCCTTTCAGGATGATATTGCCAGATATGGCTTTTTTTTGTGTTGAGATACTTTCCTTCTATACCTAATTTGTTGAGAGACTTTATCATGATGCTGAAAGGCTTAGACCAACTAAGTAGAAGGGCCATAACACTGATGAACAGCTTCACAGACACATGTTGTAGTGGCAGTCTCTAAATCGACAACCAGTTCAGGGAAGAGAAATCTTCCATCTGGAGCACAACATTAAGCCCATTCCACAGTGGATTCTTTTTAAAAACGTTTGTTTTGATTGACATGTAATAATTGTACATATTTATGGGGTATAGAGTTATATTTCAATACACGTATACAATATGTGATGATCAAATCAGAGTAATAAGCATATCCATCTTCGCAGAAATTTCTCGTCTCTTTGTGATGAGAATGTTTCAACTCCTCTTTTAGTCATTTGAAAACATACAAGAAATTACTGTTAATTATAGACACGTAGCACTATTGTAGAATACTAGAACTTACTTTTCCTATTTAGCTGTAATTTTCTATCCATTAACCAACATCTCCCTGTCCTCCCTCCCTCCTCGCCTTTCCAGCCTCTAGTAACCACAAGTCTGTTCTCTACTTCTATAAGCTCAACATTTTTTTTTTAACTTCCACATATAAGTAAGAACACACAATGTTTATCGTTCTAAACAATGTTTATCTTTCACTTAAAAATGGATTCTTAAAGAAGAGGGAGGGAAAGAATTAACCAACATCTCCCTGTCCTCCCTCCCTCCTCCCCTTTCCAGCCTCTAGTAACCACAAGTCTGTTCTCTACTTCTATAAGCTCAACATTTTTTTTTTAACTTCCACATATAAGTGAGAACACACAATGTTTATCTTTCTAAACAATGTTTATCTTTCACTTAAAAATGGATTCTTAAAGAAGAGGGAGGGAAAGAATTGTGTTTTCTTTCTACCTTTGGGAAAGACACAAGGTTGAACGGAAGTATCTGAGGGAATTTAACACAGTGCAGTGGGTATCAATAATAGTAGACATTCTGAAAAAATACATTGTGTATATATACTCTAGGAGAGAATAAATTATGAATTCTATAGCGATTTAAGTTCCTCTTTAATCATTTTGGCAGTGCTAAATAGAAAAATCATCAAAAAAAAGCCATCATACTATTTAAAGGAGGAGGAGCCAATTAAGTTTTCAAACTTATTTGTTCTCTTTGTTCCTGCGTTTTTTTAAATAGACCAAAATGAAATCTTTATTTCATCTGTTTCTATCTAGAGCTATTTTCCATAGGAGTGGTCTCCAAAATATGGCGTACTTGACCCAAGCAGTGTACACACACAAAAAATTCCCATTTTAATTAATTTTTATCTTGAAACATGAACATAAGCTAATTTATTAATTTTTAATAGAAAGATCGACAGGAGTACAAGATGTAATTTATAATATAAACATTTATGGGAGTGTACACTAAATGTAGAAGGTACAATCAAAAAAGTATCCTAAAGTTGGCTGTGGGTGGGAGTTGTTAAATATACAGATTATCAGGGCTTTTCTCTAGATATTCTCACTCAGTAGACCACAATTGGGGCCTGGGAATCTGTTTTTTTAACAAGAGCTCTAAGTGTTTCTTATTTTCAGCCAAGTTTAGGAAACTGGCAATACAGTTCTAAGTCCCATAGCCACTAATGGCTATATGATTTGTGCATCACCTGCCCTTAGATAGCTAGAAAGATAGACTGTCCAAGGGCTGAGCAGCAGATCTAAACTAACCAGTGACTCAGTCGATAGCCTCCAGCTCACCTTATTTCTTGTGCTTTGATTGGACCAGAAGCCAGCTTATAGTAGTTGAATTTTAGGTGCAGTGATATGTCTGTATAGAGTAATCTAGGAGTTTGTTTACCTTGGGAGGTTTGAAATTGATGATTGTTTTTAACCATGAAGCAGTTACCACAGATGATTACTATGTTTCATGTATGTTAAAAATTATGGATGATCAATAACTTTATACTTACCTTATTTTTTTATAAATGCTTAAACATGATATATGGAAATGCAGAAATTGATTTTATGCTAAGGCAACTGGGTGTCCTAAAATAAAATATTTATACAAAATGTTAAAAAATACTAGAAGAAATGATAGCTAACATTTATTGAGTGCTTACTATGTGCCAGGCACTGTCCCAAACACTTTTCAATACTTTATATTATTATTTAATCCTCACAACAATTCTATGAAATAGGTGTTTTTTTCTATCCATTTTGCAAAGGAATTAACTGATAGAGCACAGAGAGGTTAAATAACTTGCCCGTTGATTATAGGATTTCTGTTTGCTTGCTTGTTTTAATTTTGAAAACATCTATAAATCGCTTTTAGAAGACACTTATTTTCATGTTTGGATTTAATGATACTTTGACTTATTTGACTCAATAATTCTTTATCTTGAAATCTGATTTCTCATACTATCTTGTTCTCTTATAAATAAAACCTTCTCTTTTGTGTACAAATAAAACCTTCTCTTTTGTGTATTTTAACCAGAAATACAAAGTGGCAAGTAGAAATCACTTTTTAGTTGAAGATGGAATATTCAAATGATGGAAGAATATGACAATCTAATAAAAGCAAAGTGTGTACAGCCACTTTGAATATGTAGCCTGGTGATTCAATCTAATAAGTAAAATTTGTTAGATATATTTTTTTTATCCTGAAGCTTTGCTTTATAACTGCTATGGCATTTTTAATGTCTGACAGATTTTGTGAAAACAGAAAGAAATTCTGGCAATTGTTTGTTTTAATTGATGTTCAATTTATATTCAAATTTTTAACCCTGCCTTTTTTTTTTTTGAAGATGACCAGTAGGGGGATCTTAACCCTTGACTTGTCAGCACCACACTCTCCCAAGTGAGCCATGGGCTGGTCCTAACACTGCCATTTTTAATATCTAGTGTTTTCTTAAGGTTTTAAGCTCAATTTATGCATTTTAAAAAATAATACTTTTACTAGTCCTTCAGTTAATCTTCTTAAATTGTCAAATTAAATTCCCTGAAGCATTTTAAAAAACACTTAACAAAGTATATAATGAATCAAAAAGCAAAATCAAATAACTAAACATATCCTGTTAATCTTAGTCTAATAAATCAAATTTATAAATTCAGTAAACCAAGTTCTCCTAAATATTATACATTGCTTATAAACTTCTGTTACAAATTGTAA